TCCACCAGCTCTGACTTTATCTCATGGGAATGTGAAGTATTTCCACTCCCTCCGCTGCCCACAATTAGGTCCAACTCTTGGGGCCTGGGGCCCCGGGGGAAGTGTAGTTCCTAATTGGATGAGCTGATATTTGCTGGAAAGTATAATGGAAAGTATAGGCTTGTTTGCATCTGACCCTATAAAAATAAAATCCAAATTGTGAGGAGGTGAGGAATGAATGTGTCGCAAAGAAACAGAAGCAGTGAGAGTAGACTACTTTTCCTACAAGTTTAACAGCTAGATGACATAGTGGGCTTGGAGTCAGGAAGATCTGAATTCAAATCCAGCCTCAGACATTTAATAGCTGTGACCTTGGACAAGTCACTTAACTTCTGTTTGCCTTAGTTTCCTCATCTGTAAAATAGGGATAATAATAGCACCCACCTCCCAGGACTGTTGTAAGGATCAAATGAAATCATATTTGTAAAGTACTTAACACAGTGCCTGGCACATAACAAGTGGTATTTAAATGTTAGACATTATTATTGGCATATTATATCAAACAATATCTTAAGGCAGGGCAGGATCAAGGGAATTTTTTTAAGGATGTAAATCATGTTTGTAGGCAGCTAAAGACCCATATTCTTCACAAAGCCTTTCTCAGTCCCTCTTAATGATAGCGCCTTCCCTCGGTTGATTATCTCCAACTTACTTGTATATAACTAGTTTGAATGTAGTTATTTGCATGTCATCTGCCCCATTGGATTGTAAACTCCTTGAGAGCAGGGCTTGTCTTTTGCCTTTTTTATACCCCCAGCACTCAGCCCAGTGCAAGGCACATGGTAGGCACTTAATGCTTGTTGACCAACTGACAGAGGAGAAAACATAAAGAGAGGAAAATGAAGAAACTGAAGAAAAGTATTAAGGGAGAAGAAGTTGAGGGGATGAGTGGAACAAGGTCACCTTAAAGTGATGAGAGAAGATGAGTTAGGGCACAGTGCAGTGGCTAGTCTTGGCAAAGGATGCCTCATCCGCTGAGACTAGAGAAAGGGAGGGGGGGGGCGGGCACATAGCAAGGTTCTGAGGAAAACAGCAGGAGACAGAAAAGCTTGAGGACAGCCTCCATCCTGTCAGTAAAATGGGACGGGAAGCGAGTGGGCTTGAAGGCAGAGGAGACGGTTTAGAAGAGTCACTATGGGCTCTGCAATAGGAGTTCAAACAGATGACTTAGAGAACAAGAGCGAGATGGCGGCAGGGGCATCTTAAGTCCTACACTTACACGGTGGCTCCACACACGTCCACCTGGGCACCCAGACTTCTGGCCTCTGGGCCAGTGAGACGTTTGGAGAGATAGAACCCAAAACCAGCTTCCGTGAGCCAGGGCTGGGGATCCGGGAAAGAATGAGTGAGTCCACCGTTAGAAAGCACGAGAGAGGAAGAATTACTCATGTTGCGACTTTCAGCTTCCTCACATTATTAGGGATTGTTGTTCAATTGTTTCAGTCACGTCTGACTCTTTGGGACCCTATTTGGGGTTTTCTTGGCAAAGACACTGGAGTGGTTTGCCATTTCCTTCTCCAGCCCATTTTACAGATGAGGGAACCAAGGCAAAGAGGGTTAAAGGACTTGCCCAGCGTCGCACAGCTAATAAGTGTCTGAGGCTACATTTGGACTCAGGTCTTCCTGACTCCAGACCAAGCACTCTATCCAATACAACACCCACCTTCCCTTCATGAGGGGTTACTTTATACTAAAGATGAATGACTTCTTTAGCAAATTGAAGCCTAGATTCTAAGGAATGAGACAGAGAAAAGGAGGATATTTAATTTATTCAGGGCTTCGCTTTCAGGATCATCACTGAAGGAAATACAGATGCTAGACACTGATTCTCTTGGTGGAACTTACAATCTAAAGGAAACAAATCAATAGGTCAGTAATAGGGTACTGTGCTAAGTGCGGGGGATTCAAAAAGGGGCAAAAGGCAGTCTTAGTCCTTTGCCCTTGAGGAATTCACAATATGTAAAGGAATAAGAAACAAAAGGGATTACTGGTCTTTCCTACCTTTAATCTTCCCTTCTCCGGGGAATCTATCCTTCCCACACTTTCCAAAATAATCTTTTTTTTATAATATTTTTCCCCATTACATGTTAAAACAATTTTTAACATTTACCAAAAGAATGTTACCATATCACTCCCTTGCTCAAAAAACCTACCGTGGCACCCTATTCCCGCTAAGATAAAATACTAACTCCACAGCCTGGCATCTAGGTCCCTGTGACAATGTGGCTCCGACCTACCTTTCCAATCTTCCTTCACATTATTTCCCTCTGCGCACATTCCGGCTCTAGCCGTTCCCCACACTGGACGTGCCATCCCCTGCCAAGGTATTGACATTGCCTGTCCCCCGTGGCTAGAATGATCTCCTTGCGTATTGCCACATTTCAGATTCCTTCTCTGGGAAGACTGGTCTTTGACCAGCAGCCCTACTCCAGAAAGCCCTGAATGCCACCACTGAAAATAAAGGTCAGGTAACAGAGTAGTCAGCTAACTGTGGAGCCCCTAAATTCCCAAGTCAGACTGTGTAGACTCTTCACGGCCTCTCTGCTTGAACTTCTGCCTTTTGGGCTCCGAGCTGCTTTTCAGGACCTCCCCTCTGTAAGGAGCTACGTTCATCCTCACTTTCTGTTGTTCGACCTCACTTGAACTGAGCCCTCTGAAACCACTCTACTCGCCTACAGGTCCCATTCCAATTAGCCACATAGACAAGGCACGGCCGGTCTTTTGCCCAGGCAATGGCCAGGCTTTCAAAACCGTCAAGAAGAAACTGATTCCCACTTCATAAAGGGAGTAGCCTCATCTTTGCAGTTAAACACAGCTAGGTGGCGCCATAGGGTATAGAGCACTGGGCCTGGAGTCAGGAAGACTCATCTTTCTGAGTTCCAATTTGGCCTCAGACGCTCCCTGCGTGACCCTGGACAAGTCACTTCACCCTGTTTGCCTCAGTTTCCTCATCTATAAAATGGGCTGGAAAAAGAAATGGCAAATCACTCCAGTATCTTTGCCAAGAAAACCCCAAATGGGGTCATGAAGAGTCGGACGCGACTGAAAAACGACTGAACACCACCCCCATAATCTGCCCTGCGCGTTCTGTGACGACATTCTGGTTTTCTGGGCTAAGGGGGTTGGTCAAACCCTGATTTCCCTATGCTTGCCTGCATCTTGTACGGCTGGCAACCTCGGACTTTTTGCCTTTCAAACAAGTCCCAGTTTTTGTCCTCGGTGACCCCGTGGCCGGCGCTTCTGCCTGCAGTATCACCCGGCATTTCCAGTTTGGCACCCCGGTCAGAGACAGGTTTACAGACGCCTTTCGCCCAGCTAGTGGATTTTGGCCAACTGGAGCCCCAGGGGCCGGCAGCAAATGAGAAGACAGGGCAAAGTACGGGGATCCCAGGACAGGGGGCAAGCAGTCGGTCCACATGAGGAACCGTGCCTGGTCTGTGTGCTCCTCCCCTCTGACCTCCAGTATACAACACCCTCGGTTTGCAGAGCGTGAGCTGAAGAATGGCAGAGCTTCAGTTAGTGAGCCTTTCTCAGAGGTGGAAGGCATCCTAAGAGGGGCAGGGTGGCCCGGTGGACTAAGGCAGAAGACCTGGGCTCTTGACTTGGCAGTTCTCAGAACCCCCATGTTCTCCTCTTTTCCCCTACTGTCCCCGTCTCCACCAGAGTCCCTCTCTTCCTTCAAGGCCAGACTGCAGGGGTGGGGAACCTGTGGCCTCGAGGCCACATGCAGCCCTCTAGGTCCTCAAGTGTGGCCCTTTGACTGAATCCAAACTTCACGGAACAAATTCCCTTCATAAAAGGATTTACAGAATCCTGTAAAACTTGGACTCGGTCAAAAGGCCGCCACACTCGAGGACCTAGAGCCATATGTGGCCTCGAGGCCGCAGGTTCCCCACCCCTGGCCCAGAGCATAGGCCACCTCTCCCATGAAGCTTTTCCTGATGTCCAGCAGGTCAGAGTGATCCCTCCCTCTTCAAACTTCTCACAGTATTTTGCTGAGATTTCTCCTCGCTTACTCAATGCTCCTTCATATCATAGCTGTGAGGCAGCTAGGTGGGAGAGCAGAGAGAAAGCTGGACCTAGAGCCAGGAAGACTTGCATTTAAATCTGACCTCAAACACTTATTAGCTAGCCGTGTGACCCTGGGCAAGTCACTTAACTCCTGTCTGCCTCAGTTTCCTCATCTATAAAATGGGAATAATAGTAATAGCACCTATCTCTCAGGGTTGTTGTAAGGATCAAATGAGATAGTATTTATAAAGTGCTTTGCAAACCTTAAAGTGATATATAAATGCTGGCTATTATCAACATGTGTACTTCCCACCTTACCTCTCCACCGCACCACCCCCTTTAAATTCAAAGGATTGTAGATACAGAGCTAAAAAGAACCTCAGATACCATCTTGTCTAGACCTTTCATTTTATACATTAGTGAACTTACATTCAGTAAGGTATTTTGATATGTGTTTCAATTGGAATTCTATTATATTTTATTTTATAATCTAAAAATGTTGTTCTGAGAAGGGGCCATAGGCTTTGCTAGACTGCCAAAGGAGCCCATAACTCAAAAAAGGTTAAGAACTATATGTCTGAGGTCTATTATTATTATTATATTAATTAATTAATAATATAATAATTACAATCAATATATTATTATTAATAATCAATGAATTCATTGATTGAGATGTATTCTCACCCAGTTAAGGTATCTGGGCTAAAATGGGATGGGGTCATTTCAACTTTAACCTAACACTTTGAGGATGACTAACATTTATATAGCATATACTATGTGCCAGGCCTGTGCTAAATGCTTTTGCAACTATTATCTTATTTGATCCTCACAACAATCCTGTGAAATAGGTGCTATTATTATTACTCCCATTTTACAGTTAAGAAAAGTGAGAATGAGTCAAGTTAAATGACTTGCCTTAGGATTTGAACTCAGGTTTTCTTATCTTCCAGGTTGACACTCTATTACACTATTGCAGAAGATTTTTTTAAAAAGTGGAGTTTAAAGGATTTGCCTGTGGCTGCAGAGCTAGTAAGTGGTGGAGCCAGGATTAGAATCCAGATCTTTTGAATGAGGCAATTGTGGTATGATGAAAAGAGCCCTGGACTTTGGAGTCAGAGGAGTCACCAACTGGCCGGAACAACTCAAATTGGCTGCCATTGTGCATAAAATAGAGCCGCTAAGGCAGTCTTTACAATCTCTATTTCCCACCACCAGGCCCTCCCAAAGGCACCAAGATGCTGCCTGCTGTCCTGGCAGGGCCCCGAGACTCATTCTAATAAACGGGGAGCTCAACCTCTGTGGAAAATATTATGCAACTTCTAAGGCCTGTGGTGATGTGGACTTATCCACAGTTTAATCATCTCTGGGGTTGTTAAGCACTAGATTATAGATAACAGCAGTCGTTGATTGTTTATTGAAACCCACAAGGCCAGCTCAATGTTCCAGAGGGACTTACAGTGCCGGGGATTTGCATTGGAGGCGGATGGGAAGGGGGAGCTTTCTTTGAAAAGCAAGCCCTCCCCTGCCAACGTAATTGACTCTGATGAATACCTACAGTGCGTGGGCTTCTTGTCAGATAGGAGCTGGCTTTCCCTCTGATTCTTTCCCATGAACTTGACATGCTCTGTGGGACAAGCGACCACAACAGTTGCTCAATTTCTTCTTGACTGAATTCTGCTCAAATCCTCAGCAATTAATTATGGTCCTCTCCCTTCTAGGCAATCCCGTCTGAGCTGTTTAATCACTTAGCCGTGGGATTTGACTGATTCCAACTTCTGGAAGAAAAATATCATTAAGGTTTCAGTGATGGGAATGTCAGTTCCACATTCTTGCTTTTAAGATGTCTTACAATAGTAATGATCATGATTATCTATTTTATGCATGAAGAAAGGAAGATGCAGAATTTTTTTTTAGTCCAAAGGCATCTCAGTAGCATCCATCTATTCCACCCCTCCATCCCCCAGAAACCCAAAAGAAGTTCTCACTAGAAGATGCCCAACAAATGGTTGAATCAGGTGATGTTCCAAGTCAGTGACCCAAAGGATATTAGAAATAATTTTCTAATAAACCAGTATGTCAGAAGGAAGGTGTTTGGCAAACTGGAAAGCAATGTGGGCTATTATTTTCCATAGCTGTTTAAAACCTCTGAGGAAGACCATGCACAGAGTGTGGCTGGCTGCGGTGACAGTGTGGGATCATGGAAGAATACTAAAATTGGAGCTTCTTGATTATAGATTAGAACCTGGACATAACCTCCGAGGTCAACTATTCTAGAGATATCAAGCTTGCAACTGCAATTCTCCCAGAGCTCAAGAACCTGATTAAAATGGAATTGAGAAATCTTTAACAAAATAAATAAAGATACAATACAACATAGATGATGTTAATTTGTGGTTTTCTAAGTCAAGGTGGGACGGGCAATTTTTTCTAATTGAGTTTGATGTCACTGTACTGGTCCATCCTCCACATTTTGCAGAGGAGGAAACACGTAGTTAGTGACAAAGCCAGCCCTTGAACCCAGGTCCTCTGACTCAAAAGCCAGTGTTCTTTCCATCACACCACACCAAATTGCCTCATTCAAAAGATCTGGGTTCTAATTCTGGCTCCACCACTTATTGGTTTTGCAATTACAGGCAAATCCTTTAAACTCTTTGAATTTTTTTCATTCTCTATAATAATATTCCTACTACTGTACCTACCTCTCAGGGTTATTGGGAGGAAATTATGTATATTGCAAAGGCTATATATATATATATATATATACACACACACATATATATATAAGCTAATATTTTCCATAGGTTAGGTCCCTTAGCCCTGAGAAAATATGCATTACTGGTTTAAAATGGGATCGAATAGTGGTTAAGAGATGGAGGGAATATACTATCCACCTCCAGAGAGAACTGATGAACTCTGAGTGCAGATTGAAGCATAATATACTTTTTATCTCTTTATGCTTCTTGCTTTTTCTTGTGTGGGTGTGTTTTTTATTTGTTTTGTTTTTTGCAACATGGCTAATATGGAAATATGTTTTACATAACTTCACATGTATAATATTTTTTTAAAAACAAAGGATATGGAAATTTTAGTTTAAAAAAAGAGGAGATGGAGTTTGTGAGAGAAGTAAAGAAAGGAAAAGGGTAACTCCTGAATATGTAGGTAGAACTTACTCTCCACTCTCTGCTTCCAAGTATTTACCTAATATCTACGTGTCAGGTGGGGTGCCCAGACTCCTCTCTACTCTGGTCAGATGGACCAGGTTCAATCTTGAGGAAACTTTTAAATATATATATTTTATTTGTTTTAATCAGACAAGATCTTCCTTCTCACCTTCCCACCTATACCAACCTCAGTTGAGAACATGAAGGGAAAAAAAAATTACAACCATGTTTAGTCAATCAAAACAAATTTCTACATCGTCCACATCCCAAAAAACCTATCTAAGTTTGCATTCTGAATCCATCTCTCTGTCAAGAGGTGGGCAGCATGTTTCATAAGTAGTCTTCTGGAATCCTAGTTGGATATTATGTTAATAAGAATTCAGTGCAATAGTATGCTATTACCTTTTTGTACCACAACTTGTTCATCCATTCTCAATTTATCGGCACCTCTTCAGATTCCCATTTTTTGACACCTCAAAAAGAGATATATTTTTACATATCTTTAGAGTTTGTTTTGCTTAGGGCTAATCCTTCCTTCTGATTCTCCCTTCTTCCCTTTTCCTTCTTTTTCCCTGTTGAGTGAAATGTATTTCTGTACTGAACTCTGTGTATTCTTTCTTTTGACCAGTTATGATGAGAGAGTTTAGCTGTTCCATTTTTTATCCGCTCCTTGTTTGTATAAATGTCTATTGATTATATAAGATTAATCTACTGATTATGTGAGATAATTTTTCCAAACCATCCTCCCAAGTGTATTTCTCTTCCTTTCTTATTCTATTCTTTTCTCAGGATCATTAAGATAGAATCACTTACAGGCCTTGTCTAATTGGATTCCCTCCAATGATGATAGGGTTCAGAGAGGACATATATAATCTCCTCTTATTTTTAATTTAATCCCCTTATAAAACTGCTTATATTTGAATACAAGCGATTTATGCTTGTTTAGTTCTTTATAATTGTTCCTCGATGTTTACCTTTTCATATTCCTCTTCAGTCCTGTATTTGAACTTCAAATTTTCTCTATAGCTCTGGTCTTTTTATCAGGAATGCTTGAAAGTCCGCTATTTCCCCTGTAGCTTTATACTCAGTTTTTCTGGATAGATTAATCTTGGCTGTAAGCTCATATTCTTTGCCTTCTGAAATGTCATATTCTGAATTCTGAATTCTCTGCTCCTTTATGGTGGTGGCTGCTAAATTGTTTGCAATCCTAACTATGGCCCCTCAGTACTCGAATTGCTTGCAGTATTATCATTGTTAATTTTTGGACCTAGAAGCTCAGGGTTTTGACTGTGATGTTCCTGGGAGTTGTCATTTTGGGGTTTCTTTCCAGAGGTAACTGGTGGATTCTTTCTATTTCTACTTTGCCTTCTGGTCCTAAGAGTTCAGGGCAGTTTTCTTCTAATTTTTTTCTTGAAATGTGGTGTTTAGGCTATTTCTTTCTTTCTTTCTTTCTTTCTTTCTTTCTTTCTTTCTTTCTTTCTTTCTTAGGTCATGGCATTCAGGTAGTCCAATGATTCTTACATTTTTTTCCCCCTCCTTAATCTGTTTTTCAGGTCAGTTGTGTTTGCTATGAGATACTTACATTTTCTTCTGTTTTAATATTTCTTATTGCTTCATGGAGTCATTGGCTTTTATTTGGTCCATTCCAATTTTCAGAGAGTTTGTTACTTCTTCAAGGTTTTGTACCTCTTGTGCCAAAGTTTTCTAATTCTTTCTTCCATAGCTCTCATTTCTTTTCCAATTTTTTTTCTTTAGTCACTAATTCCATTTATAATTTTTTTTAATCTTTTAAAATGTTTTGCTTCATCTCTTCCAGGAATTCTAGTTGAGTTTGTGTCCAGGCTGTATTTTCCTCTGAAGCATTGCTTGTAGAAGTTTTGCAGTCATTTTCTTCTTCAAAACACAATTGTGCTCCATAATAACATATTGTAGTAGGGTTCCTTTTTTATTTGCCCATTTTCTTCCCAGTCTACTTTCTGACTTCAGACTTGATGTCAGGGCTGGGCTCTGTGGCACTTCTAGAGGGAAGGTCTGGGCTTGTCCTGTTGCTGTTTTTTTGGAGTAGTGAGTGCTATGCTAGTCCAAGTCTCATGGATAGCATAGGGACCTATAAGCTTTCAGTTTTCCCCAACTGGACTGATCCAGGGCACAGTCTGATTGCTGCCCCCCTGCTCTGAGCTTTGCAAGTTCCTGATTAGATTGCTCTTTAAATTTTTAAAAATTAAATTAAATTTGTATTTTCAGTTCCAAATTCTTTCTTTCCCTCTACCTCCTCCCCTACCCATTAAGAAGACAAGAAATACAATACTCATTATACATATGAAGTCATGCTAAAGATATATCCACATTAGCTATATTGAAGAAAAGAAAAGAAAATAAGGAAAAAGGGAAAAAATATGCTTCAATCTACATTCTGAGTCTATCAGCTTTCTGTCTGGAAGTGGATAGCACTTTTTCATCATGGGCCCTTTGGCACTGTGGTGGATCATTGTACTGATCAGAGCTACTAAGTCTTTCACAATTGATAATTGTTACAACATTGCTGTTACTGTGTACCTTGTGTTCCTAGTTCTGCTCACTTCACTTTGCATCAGTTCATGTGAGTCTTTCCAGGTATTTCTTTCTGAAAGCATCCTGCTCAACACTTCTTATAACACAATAGTATTCCATCACAAGCATATACCATGATTTGTCCAGTCATTCCCCAACTGATGGGCACCTCCTCAGTTTCCAGTTCTTTTATCATCACAAAAAGAGCTGCTATAAATATTTTTATACATCTGGGCCCTTTTCCTTTTTCTTTAATCTCTTTGGAATATAGCCCTAGTAGCAATATTGCTGGATCAAAGGTTTTAGAGCCCTTTAGGCATAGTTCCAAATTCCTCTTCAGAATGATTGGACCAGTTTGAAATGAAGCTCCACCAGCACTGACTACATCACTCTTAAAGACCTTCATTCTGAACCTGAGCCTGATACCAATTATCCATGGTCAATTAGGGCACCAAGGTTAGGTTTAAAGCTACATTGTCAACTTCCACTCATAATACACTCTGCGCAGGAAGTAAAGAGTCTCAATACTTTCTTGTACTTAGTGTTCTTTTTCTCTTGCTGCCACAGGAGGGCACATGATCTTCAGACCATCCATTGAGTGTATGAAATAAGGTATCAGCATCCACATTGGTCTTCTGTGGTCATTGGTATATGCTAAACCCTTTGTTGATCAACATCACTACCCAACTCCAACCTAGCATATAGTAGTTGCTTAATAAATGCTTGTGACAGGAATAAGCAATTCTCTGGATCTGCTCTTTAGAAGATGGGGAGTCTGGTTCAATATTGGGAAAACTATAAGCATAATTGACCATATCAGTAATGAAAACCACATGATCGTAGCAATGAATGCAGAAAAAAATAATAACAAAATTCATCTGGAAGAACAAAAGGTCAAAAATAACAAGGGAATCAATAAAAAAAAATGTGAAGGAAGGCAGCCTAGTAGTACCAGATTTCAAACTATATTACAAAGCAGTAATCATCAAAACAATCTACTAGTGGCTAAAAAATAGAGTGGTGGATCAGTGGAATAGATGAGGGACATAACACACAGTAGTGAATGACCATAGTAATCTGGTGTTTGATAAGCCAAAGATCGAAGGTTGGGGGCAAGAATTCACCATTTGACAAAAATTGCTGGGAAAACTGGAAAGCAGTTTGGAAGGAACTAGGTATACACCAACGTCTCACACCATATATCAAGATAAAGTCAAAATAGGTTAATGATTTAGCTATAAAGGGTGATATCATAAGTAAATTAGGGGAGCATGGGAAAATGTACCTGTCAGATCTAAGGAAAAAGGAAGAATTTATAATCAAATATGCAATAGAAAGTATCACTACAAGTAAAATGGATAATTTTGATTACATGAAATTAAAAAGATTTTATACAAACAAAACCAATGCAACCAAAAATTAGAAGGAATTCAGGGAACTGGGAAAGATTTTTTATGTCAAGTTTCTCTGATAAAGGTCTCATTTCTCAAATATATAGGGAACATAATCAAATTTATATAAATAAGAACATTCCTCAATTGATAAATCATTCAAGGTTATGAATACGCAGTTTTTAGAAGAAGAAACCAAAGTTACCGATAGTCACATAAAAATGCTCTAAATAGTTATTGATTAGGGAAATGCAGATTAAAACTTCTCTATATG